CTCGGCAAGAGGTTTTCGTTTTTAAAATTTTGTTTTTGTTCTCTCTTTTATTTTATTACCTCGTTTCCATAGTTACTATTTGCAAATAGTCAATAATATTGTAGGTCCATTTTATTGTTGTTCTTTCTATGCGCCGTTATAACACATTTTCATCTCACCATTTAATTTCTGTTGTGCATATATATATATATATATTGTTGAATAAATGAAGTTTTATAATAATGGAATGTACGAAAAGTGACTCGAAAAATGGGGCTAACTCGGTAACCTGTGGCCCGATTTGAACGAAACTTGTTTTATTCTGTTTCTATTACCATTTCATTACAAATATGGCACTATTGTGCGCCGTTTTTGCTGTATTTAATTACAGACAGGCACACACACAAACAATCTCAGAGTTTTAGTAATATATAGATTACACATAGATAGCCCTTTGTGTAGTTTTGCGGGAAAATTCCAAAACAAACAGTTCGTTTCTACAAAGTCTTTCGAAACTAGTGCAGTCAGTTTTTCGTTGCAGATTCTTGTAAAATATTTTGCTTATAACTATTCCTTATATGAACTAACTCAAGCACATAAACAAAAACTATATTATTCTAATTTGTTTGAGTAAGAATAACATGAACACAATAATTAAGTTTGATAACAAGTCCTGAAAGTACTATGCCATTACTTCAAAATTAAACCACTGACCTTATACCTTCCACCTGAAAGTTTATAGTGAAGAAGCAGAAATTATATTTTCTAAGCAGAAGTCAGAAGAGAAGAATGAAATAAAAATTCCTAGAAAATACTTTCGTTAGTTTACGAAATTGTTATGTGATTATAGATTATCTTTCAGTTTCCAGTTTTTAACAATAAATATATAAACACTTCATTGACTCAACATGACACTATACATCTTTATATTTTCAAAACTGCGTAGTGAGTCATCTGTAGAAAAAAAAAGGATATAAATCAAACCAACGAACGTGAATTCCACTCCCTTTCTACATGGATGATTTTTTTTATATAACATGACATCTGACCTGGGATTATATTGTAACGACAGCAGAAGTCACATGACGCTGGTAACACGTAATGAGTATCTCGAACGTTCCAGAAGGCTCGAGCGTTTGTTATAGTATATAAGCCGGCAAATAAAGCAGCAGCAAGAATTGAATAGCAGACAGGGAGATAGAGACAGATAATCGAGTCAAGCCATAAGTAAAGTGTGTAAATCATTGTGAATTATACTTTAAGTTAAAGTGACTGTCAAAATTAAGTGTATTGCAAAGTTGACTTGAGAAAGAATAAACTAGTTTTATTTAAGAAAGGACTTGTATTGCTGAAGTTTCATCCAAAAGTAATAATACGGAAAATTAACAAACGACCAGAGATATAACAATGTAATATAATCAATAGACGTTAAACTCAGATTTAATCAAGTACACATATATATATATATATATATCTTCTCAGAATATGAATGATTAATTTTAACTATATTACTGTTACGACAGCGGAAGTCACATGACCCTAGTAACACGTCATGAGATCCTAGAAAGATCATGTCCGTTCGTAAAGCCTCGAGTGTTCTCCAGACGCCCTCTATTTCGTATATATAAGCCGGAAAATAAAGTGACGGCAATAATTGAACTGCAGACAGGCAGAGATAGAGATGGACAATTGAGTCAAGCGTGGTAAAGTGCGTGAATCGTTCGTTGTGAATTATAGCGTGTGTTTAAGTTACTATGACTGTGGAAATTAAGTGTATTGTAAAGTTGAATTGAGAAATAATAAACTAGCTTTATTTAAGAAAAGACTTGTATCGCTGAAGTTCTTCACAAAAAATGTTTACGAGTAATTACCAAACGACCAGAGACGTTACAAATTGGTGTGAGAGAGGGACAAAAAAAAAGAACATGGAAACGAGAAGCAGCAAATCAAACTACAGCTTAGCAGCTTTGATGGCAGCAATACAAGAACAGCAAAAGTAACAAGAAGAACGAGAAAAGAAACAAAAAAGAGAGATTACAGCAGTTGTTGGAGGAAAAAGAAAATAAACAAAAAGAGAGATTACAGCAGTTGTTGGGGGAAAAGAAAAGAAACAAGAAGAGAGATTACAGCAGTTGTTGGAGGAAAAAGAAAAGAAACAAGAGGAGAAATTACAGCGGTTGTTTGGAGGAAAAAGAAAAGAAACAAGAAGGGAGATTACAGCAGTGGCAAGAAAACCTGCAACAATGGCAGCTCGAACAGCAACGAGCTTGAAGGAACAACCACTGAAAATACTTGGACAGTTGTCAGCAGACGACAGGCACAACTATATAACACTTGTAGCAGCTCTAGAACTCAGGTATGGAACCCAAAATCAGTCTGAAGAAGAAGTCACTAATACCCAAAGCTACAGTTGTAGCTTCCTGATTTGG